TTATTTATTTATTTATTTATTTTTTGTAACTATTAAATTTATCTCTATCCACCTAATTACCAAACAGCACTTTAAAAGACACCCAGTTCTAGCTGCCAGTAAACAAGCTTGTGTCTTGGTGTTCTGTTTTGGGTTTGAGTGTTTTAACACCCATGCAGCTTGTGCCAAGCAGCACAATCAAGCTCCAGTTAAGTCCAAGAGCAGAAGACACTGTGTGTTTTGTTTTGAGAGCCCACTGGGTGTTTTTCAGTTGGACATATCACAGCTCTGGCCTTAGGCCAAAGGAAAAGAGGACTTTTTTTTGTTCCTTTTTTAAATCTTAAGTTTGAAGTAGTGTAATCTGAGCCTCCTGATGATACTCTGAAGCCCAGGTGGCAAATTCTTTGGATTCTGGGATATCTGTGTGTCCTGCACAGTAAAGTCTTTATATTCAGGCTTGATTCTATCGTGCTTTCTGTCGTCAGTGGAAATAGTTTCTTTCTTCTTTTTTTTTGCTCAGACAGAAACAGTTTAAGGCAGTGATTAATTTTAGGTTGACTTTACAGGGTTCCTGTGGATCCTTAAAAAGTCTTAAAAGGCAATGAATTCATCAATCCTAAAATAAGGCCTTAATTAGCCTTAAAATGTCTTAAACCAACCTTTCAGAGGTCTTAAAAATGTTAAAACATGGTAGGATGGTTGTAATTTGTGTCAAATATTAAAATAATTGGTAACTTTAAAAAAATTAAATAATTTACAGATTTCCTCTCGTAGTTCGTTGTTTTGTTTTAAAAACGTTTGGCTAACATTGTTAACTGGGGTTTTTTTTTTCATTTGTGTTTATTGTGAAGTTGGTCTTAAATTTTATTTCAAGTGGCATTAATTAGGTCTTACAAAGTCTTAAATTCGATTTGCCTTTAGCTGTAGGAACCCTGCTTTAGCCTGATAATAAAAAGATTAAATCCCAGTTGGAAGATCAGGGGTTCAGCCCCAAAGTGTCTTTAGGCAGCACCTGCACGAGGTTAAAAGGTATTTAAATAGGTTTATCACTGGCTATAACTCATTCTTTATACATTCTTTGTAAATAACATGTAGCAGAAGCTGCTAGTCATTAATTTGGCGGTAACAGGGACGGTTACGTTAAAGGAAACCTGTCATTTTCTAAACATAAGTCATAATAACAAACAATTCTTTCATTTTTCATGTTTTTTCACAGACACAATTTGGCTTCTCCATCTGGCTTTCCACACTCTTCTTCACCAGGAGCAGATTCTCTCAGTGAGCCTTTGAGAAGTGGTGCTTTTGGTGTAAATATTCCAAACATCAGCACCTCAGTTTACAATGGTGGAGCTGAGTCTAGGCCCACAGGTAAATTAATACAGCTTATATGCTTTAAAATGTAGTCCCACCACACACGATCAACCCCACTGAGGCCTTGGTTTTTTCCTTAGGTGAGCTGCAGTATTCACCTGCTGTCTTACAACAACGAATGTCAGCAGAGCTTCAGTACCTGGAGTCCATTGAGGAGTCAATCAAGCAGATGGGAGACATAGAGAGACTAATGGGTGTGTCCGTGGCACAACAGGAGAGTGCATCATTGGCTCAAATGCTCAAGGTACCAGAGATATTTTTGTCTCCCAGTTGTAATAAGGATGTAAGGATTCAAAGTATCATTTTTGTTCATAAAGATTTGGATAATAGAAGTTGAGCTGGTGCTGTTTGCTACTCCTATATATATATATATA